GATATCATAGAAAATGGATTTGTCTCCTGTATAGCCAATGGAAAAGCGGGCGAAAGTGGTTTGGTATTTATTGTGCATGTCCACAAAATTTGTGCGGTTCTTTCCATAAAACCAGCTAGGTCTTTCTGTAGCGGGACTTTGATGAAAGCCTCTATACAAATACAAACGATTATTAATGTGTTCTATGAATCATTATCAAAATAGTAACAAACTTAAAACTCTTCTCTGCTAACATCCTGTATTCTCTTCTTTAGAACGCTCTCAGCGATTACCATCACTAAATTCAACCTCAGAGTAATTATTCTCAGAAACGCTACCAGTGCTCATTACCACCTGCAAGCCACCTTTCCCCATTATGTGACAGCGATGTTCCCATTCTTGATCAACACTGATGTTCAGATTTGTGTAACTTGAGGTCTTTTTCTCTGAATCTAGCCACTTCTGCATGGGATTTCCTTCAACGCCAAGTGCTTTTGGCGCTCGGGTTAATAGTGCTTTTTGGCATGTGTCTGGAGTAGGATTTAAGGAGTGATGTTAGCATTCCTTTGCAGATTTTCAAACCTCCCCTGGCTAGGTTTTAGCATGGATACATTGTATATACTACGAAAATATGTCTGCTGTCACATGTTATCCTATATTGCCATCACACCTGGGATCAGGGCCAGCTTGTGGGTACAGATAGAGAAGTCTGTCTCAGGTGGTCTGTCCTCCTCAGTGCTTCTCTGTGGTTCCTGCGCTGGATGAGGTGAGAATTTGCTGTCTGACCACTGTATGCTGCCTGGGCAGCACTCCTGCTGCTGCTGTTAGCCGTGACCACAAGGGTCAGGGCAAGAAGGGGAACAAGGTGAATGAGGCAGTAATTGCTGTTAGGGCTGGGAATGGTTCTTCCTTGCAGCAGAAATCACTGACACATCTCTCAAGAGATGCTGCTGGGGCTAGGGAGAGATGTAGCATGATGCTACATTGGGTCTTAAAATATAAAATAAATTGTTTTTGCAGTCAGACAACAGCCATTAGCCTGCTGATGCTTAAATTTAGTTAAAGAACAGCTTTACATGCATAAATGAAACACTTTTTCAAGTCCTCCTAGCCAAGCTGTAATCCTTTCCTGCCTCTTGGGAGCATGCACTAGGCATAAACTCAGACTGATGGATTCTAAATTCATTGGATGAATTTAGGAAGCACATTAGAAAAAGGGAAGAGTGAGGAAAAAAAAATAAAAAAATAGAAGAATTCAGGGTTGCCATCAGCTTTCTGATAATATAAATGTTTGTATTTACGTCTATACCCATCTGCTGACATGAGTAATTCTTCAAATATCTCTCAAATAATCTATATATACTCTATTGTTATTTCCTTAGTAATCTGGCAAGGGACATCTGCAGTCTCTGGAAAAATAAAGTCATTTGCCATGAATTTGGCAGACTATGGTACTACCAATTTTGATAAATAGTCTACAGGGGAAAAAGTGAGAAAGGGTAAGACCTGATAAGTGTAATTTAGAAACAAACTAGTTTAACTTTTCATTTTAAAAGTGACCCTCTTTCATTTTTACAACGAGGTTTAAAATCTAGAGTCTTGAAGCTAAATTGAATAATTATCCAATTCCTTATCCAACCCACATGATCTTTTTTCATTTATTTGATGCAGACCCTGAAGTGAAAAGTCCATTATTCAGTCAGCTCCAAAGGGTGTTAGCTTGAGAAGCCAGAACAGGGAACAGAGGTGGGAGAGCAGGGCAGAGTGGAAGGAGTGATAAGCTCAGTACTAGCTGTTGGTTGACATTACAAAGATTGTTTTTGTCAAGGGAAGAGGTGGAAATATCCTCTGTCCTTTTCTATTTTTTGTTCTTTAAAGAAAGTCAAATTTCACAGTGGCATTCCCAAATGATTAAAAGCTATGTACATCAGGCTTCGCTCTCCCTCCAAGTTACCTCAAGAATCATGAGGCTGTTATCTTCAATATCCTTTTCCCCCTCCAACAAGGTAACTTCTTTTCTTCTTTTGTTTATGTTGACTTAAGCTTCAGCAATATGACACTGGAATTATAGGCTTTTAGTGAAAATCTTGAAAAAGAGTATATCTTGGTTAACACTGTCAGTCAAAGAAGTAGGTACAAACATCTAAGAATGCATCTAAGAATGTGTCCTCCAGTTATTTATCGGCAGTAAGTGCACTGAATCCAAAACGTCTTGTAACACAGCCTGATAGTTTCAGATGGGAGCCCTCCAGAAGGCATGCCTGCATCTTTACAAAATACTGATCTGGAGCTAGCTTGACAGCTCAAATTCCAAGTGGGCTATCTGATAACTTCGTGGGTTGAATATAAGCAATGAAAGAGTCCAGAAGTTTGCCCGCTGCTCCATCTAGTGCTTGTATCTTATAGGATCATGAAGTATCTTTTTCTTCTGAACTCTAATATCCTAGGAGAGGCATGGATATGGCAAGGAGCAGCTTAACTTCTAGGGAGCACTTCTTTTCCACTGGCTTCCTTGCTCATGAGGGCTCTCTGTTAGAAAGCCTTCTCTTTTACCAGCCTCTCTTCTGCCTGCCAACCTGCTGCAGTGAACAAGTGTTCCCAAAGGCAGGCTGAACTGCCTTTGCAAAGGGGTGATCCTTCAGGAACATTTAGGGGAAAAGAAATATATAAAGCATGAGACATATTGATTGCTAGGGTCGTGGTGATAAAAGCACAGTATTTATGTCAAGAATTTTGGATCCGGTTTAATGAATTTTGTATTTAAGATGATTATTTCTAAACTAAAATAGCTTGTTTATACTCAGTAAGTGTCAAATCATGGAAAAGTTAAGTCTCTTGGCAGTATAGTCAAAGGGACATAATGTAGAGGCTAGAAGATGGAATATCACAGTGGTCAGAAATGTGGGGAAAACATAGTTTCACACAGTGTCCGCTCTAGAAGTGTAAACAGTGGCAAGGAAGGTTTCTGAGTATAAACTGAATTGTCATAAATTACTTTGTCAGAATTGTCTCTGTTAGTTTTTACTTTGGCCAACTATCGCTTCCCAGGCAGTTCCCAATCACAATTCAGAAGATATTCTGGGTCAAGGACCACTCCCATATACAGATGCACACGTGTTTTGGTGAAGAGAGAATTTAATAAGATGGTTGCTGGTGTTCCTTTCCATTTGGCCCAGGCATAGATGTTTTCCCAAAGTGTAGATGAAGCCCCAGTGTAATGCTGTGTAACTGAGAATTTTGATCCCTTGCAGACCTAGCCTGAGAGCTTTGGCTCTGTAACTCCTACTATAATAGTTCATGTTTCTATCCCTAGGCATCCAGGGAGTGTGGTAGGAAAGGAGATGGCTCTCACAACCATGCTAGAGTACATCAGAAGGAAATTTTTAGTGTCTTATATTACTTTCTACATTTTGTAATTCTACAGCTGGACCTATACATTTGATTTTTAAGTATGACTCTAGTCTAACTAGCTCTTAGAGATGTCATTGCTAATAATCATCAACTACTACATCACTAGCTGGCCTTACTATCTTCCAGAATATAAATAGGATCAAAACAAAGGAAGCAGTCATATCAGCATACTATAATAGCCAGGCACTACATGTTGCCACAACACACTAAATATTCTCACCTGGAACTGAGAAATTTTTCTCCATGCTGTCTTTGTAAAACTCTTTCTGAATTTATTTGTTTATCTTCCTCGTTTTCTTTCTCTCACTTTCCTCTCCTCCAAAACAAAAGCAATTCTTGCCCTAAAACTGCCAGAGAGGAAGAATGGACCTAGCACCTGCCAGAGATGTCAAGTATTGAGAATAAGAAATGGCCCGTTAAAGACAAAACCCTGAAGAAACAAGAGAAAACAAAGTGGAGTGGGAAAGTGCTTGTAGAGAGGAAGCCCATTCTGCTGCTTGTATATCCGTCAGGTCTTTATTTCAGAACAAATCACTCCACAAAATAAAATCCCAGGCAGAAGCGTTAATGGGGTAGCCGTGAGTGAGGGCACTCGTGGGTCACGCAGCCGGGTAGGACATTTGTACCCTGCTCTGTCCTCACCCTCCCAGAGATAGCCTCTATCAACTTGTTTGGAAACACATCTCCGGAGCTGGCTGCTTCATGGCAACAGGGAGGCTGGGACCGGAGCTTATGTACGCTATCTCGGCAGGAGAGCTCCATTAATATCCCTGACAAGATCTCTTTATCCTGTGCCTTCCTAATCTGCAAGACAACAGGGAAAGAGAGGGAATTCTCTGAGCTAAACTGAGTCCCTGCTGCGTGCGATTGTTACCGTTTTTACTTTGTAAAAGTTGTGTCTTTGTTTTATCAGATGCTTTGATTTTTTTTTTCAAAAGGAGAAGGAGGGAAATATTTTTGTTATTCCTATTCTGGGAGGGGTTGCGCAGCAGAGGCTTCTATGTCCTAAAACATGCCAGCATCCAGCCCTCCCTCCTCATGAATCCTGCCCTCTCCCTATGCCCTCTGCCCCCAGACTTCCCCTTGTGCATGAAGACCTGGGAGTCTTCTGCCGGTTGGGATTTCTTCAGTATCTGCTTATGCAATCGCTAACGTCTCTTCTCAGTAGTTGCTGGGCCTGTGCTGGGAAGAGAAATGATGGTTTCTCTTCACGAGCTGCCTGAAATTAGAACTTACTGGCTCCTCAAAGGGAAACAGCACTTCTGACAGCACTTGAAAAGCAGCCAAGTTGTTTTGAAATGTCAAATAAACGTAGAAAAAGGAAGAGAGGTTGAAGGGCCCTGATTCAGATTTTTCATTTAGATCCCTCTGTACCCTTAGTACTTACACTGAGTAATTAAGTGCAATGTTCTGTATATATAGGAGGTCAGATGACATTATATAATGGCCCTTCCTGGCATGAAGATGTCTGAATTCATGCCAAAGCATCGCTTTTTGTAGCACAATCTTACCCCCACCATGTAATAATTTGGCTTGGTGTTAGGTACATTTGAAGAGGCAGCAAAGCCTGTATGAAACTTTAAGGATTGACTTTAGTTTCATCATTCCAGGTGGCATTAGAAGCGTGCATGGAGCAAATCAGGAAGCAGTGCAGCTTCACGAGAGACAGCTTCTGAGCGCTGCTGCGGCTTGCTGGCCGAGCACCACAGGCTGTTTACAAAACAGAGGCTTATGCAAGATGCTACGGTTTGGATGTTGAGTTCAAACGCTGCAAAATCGGAGGCATCTCAGTTCCTGCCAACTCCTCCTGTCTACTGATCACGAGGGGGTTATTTCAGATTGCCCCTCTTGGTCCAGGTGTGTATTTCCTTTCTCCCTGGAGTCACAGTGTGCAGTGGTCGGCTGCGCCTTCCCTTTTGTGAGAAAGCTGTTTGCCCCAGATGTTGGCACATCACCTTGAAATGGGAGAATTTTGGTTGTCCAGCAGAAAGGATCAGTGTTTTAAACATAACATCCTCCTCCAGCATACAGAGAATTGCAGTGCAGCAGGGACAAGGTAAAGAGTTGTGACGCTGTGTGCTGGAGGGAAAGAGAACTGGGTCAGAGAGAAGAACAGCGCCCGAGGAACAGATGAGGAAGGCAAGAGAAAGGTACAAAATCCTATGCTAGGGGAAAAGAAACACAGCCATGGAGGGAGCAGCTCTGACCACATCAAAGAAAACTACAGCAGCACCCTTACCTGCCCAGGAATGAACTTGCCAGACAAACACAGGTGTCAGTCTCCAAAGGATCTGACCCTGTGCATTCACATGAACACAAACATGTTATTTCCTTTCCCTCAGACAGATGCAAACCTGTCAGAGCAAAACCTGGCTGTTAGGGAGATGGCTAGTGTGGCTTCGTGTGGCGAAGAGAAAAAGCTAACAGATAATACACTCATAATTTTATTTCTCTTTAATTTCTCTTCGTGACATTCTCATTCTCCCTTGTGACTGTGTAAAGGAATCCACATCTTTTAGCTAAGTCTCTTAGGAAACTGTGACTGAAAGGGCCGTTCATCTCAATACCATGCATGCGGTGCGTTTTCCCTTTCCTGTTCAGAAACTCTTGGGGGAAAAACAAACGGACAAATACATAAATAAACACCCGATCTCCCCGCTGGCCATGCCCAGGCACCTGCTTAGCCCCTTTGCTCGACAGGCTGCAGCCGCCGGCCATGGCCGTGGCGCGGGGCAGGGTGACACCTGCTGGGGACGGAGGAGGGCGCTGAAATGGCGGCGCCTCAGCCAGGAGGGGCCAGCGCCCAGCCCTCATGGCGGCCTGCGGCTGCCTCAGGAGGGGAGCGGAGGGGCAGGCGCTGAGCTCTGCTTTCTGGGGACAGCGACAGGACCCGAGGGGACGGCATGGAGCTGGGACAGGGGAGGGTCAGGCTGGGGGTTAGGGAAAGGTGCTGCACCCAGAGGGTGGTCGGGCACTGTCCCCAGTCACTGAGTCAGCTGGAGTTGAAGAAGCGTTTGGACAGTTCTGTCAGACATATGGCTTGATATTTAGGTAGTCTTGTGTGGAGCCAGGAGTTGGACTCGATGGTGCCTGTGGGTCCCATCCAACTCAGGGTACCTTCAGTGATTCTGTGATACAAAGGGCCAAATTTTAGTCCCTGCTGAGGCAGTGCATGGAGCCACCGACCTGCACACATGGCTTGGTTGGCCCACAAGAGCTGAGATGTGGCAAAAGTGCCCAACCTGTCCACATGGCAGCCTGTGCTACCCTACCGGCTGGCTGCCTTCCCTGCTGGAAGTCCAGTACAACCCTGGAGAAAACGCCTGGCACAGGGGGAGGCCAGGGCAGCAGGTGTGTTGCACTGGGTGGGCGCACTCACACATTTTGGCCAGGTACCAAGCCTGGCCAGGTAGCCTTAGCTTGAAGTACCTAAGACAAAAATCAGCAAACAGCCTGGGTTAACTGTGTGGTAAGAACATATCCTTAAATCTCTTACTTCTCCCATCTATCAGGTTGTTAGATAATTTCAAGTCAGGTGAGCAAAGTTTTTCTGTTTTCTAAATTTGTCTTTTTCCTCTGTATTTCTGCTGTTCTTTCCAGGCAGCACAGGGTAATTTTCAAGTTCAATTTATTTGTTAAGGTCTCACTTTTTTTTTTTTTTCCTCATAAAAACAACCAGCTTGGCCAGACCCAGAGGTAGACTGAAGTACTAGTCTCTTTCTGATGGGTTTACTCACTCAGCTTCTTAGGTGGGATCCCAGCTGGCTAAGAGCTGAGCTCTTGCTCCTCCCCGTAGTGATTTAGCACAAGTCTAATAAGAGAAAAGGAAACAGAAAAACCTTTCTTTTTGAGAGTGATAGGGAGAACTACCATGAGACTGTAAAAATTAAAGGCTGCCTTTTCCTGTTCCACAGTACCTGGCCTGTGATTTAAGAGAAGAGTGGTCCTGTATTGCAGCTGAACTTCGTGGCTTGGAAGGTAGAAAGGAAGATGTGGTACCTGTAGCTGGAGGTAAAGAAATAAAAAAAACAGCTTCGGAGCAGAGGTGAGTGTGGTGTGGGATTGATGCGCGAGGGAAGTGGGTACAGCCTGTGGCACAAATGGAAGTGAGGACTGGGCATATTGAGAGACAAACCAGAAGGAGATTGTAGGGCTGGTAACAAGCAGAGCACAAATGCCACTGTTTTACTTCCAGCTTTTGGAAGAGCTGGCTACAGTAAATGTTGTGCATGTTGGAGGTAGGCATGGGGCATTCAAAAGACTGACCAACTGTGTTGCTCTGTTATGGAAACAAGCGTCTCCTTCCTATACATAGTGATATCTCACATGTACATTATATATCTCAACCAATTCATTGTTTTCTCCATTCTATTTCTAGTACTTGTTCTGTTGTTTCCTTGTAAGCACAGACATTCCTGTGGCTTGTTGTTGCCTCGCTATCTGAAGTTCTCACCTCTCTGCCAGTTGCCCTGCACAGTGAGTTAAAACTCCTTTTTCCTATGCTTAGGATCCCACCATGTTCTTCTACCCCAAATCCTTGCAGCTGTTCACTCGTCTGCTTTTCTGCCTTTCTGAGTGATTACAGTGCATTTCCAACATCCTGTTCTCTGCTGCCTAGGAAAAGGGGATCTTTCTATGTGGCCATCCAAGAAGTGAGCTAAACTTAATAAAGTAAATTTAATAGAACCATGGTAATGTGTATGTGCTCAAACTTAGATACGTAAAGAGCAGACAGGCGGGTCACTAATCTATCTCTTCCTCACTTTGCTTATTTGTTTTTTTCTTTAAATTAGTGTGTAAGAACTTAAAATTAGATTCAATTTCCCCAGGTGAAATAGGTGGTAGCAGGGCTCAGCTGTCCCCTTGAGATAAATTGTCTACTTATGCTCCAGGAAAAGGCAGTTGCAGGGAACAGAGAGGTTCCCTTTTTTCAAGATGGCTTAGATCCAGATTGTTTCATTGATGCAGTTGTAAGTTATATCAGACTCAATAGTAGAGCCCTCAGTGTAATCATTTGTGGTTTCTTCTGCAGTTATTTCATTTATCAGTACACCGAGCTCCTCATCTGAAGGTGAGGGCTGGGGGGTGTCTGTCCTTCCTTGACTTCCACAACTTGTGCAGTCCTTCTCAGTCTGTTCACCTGTAGTTTGGTGGGCAGTTGCTGGAAAAAATGCAATGTGTTGCGCTATATTGCTCAGTTCCTCTTCCCTAATCTAAAACAAAACAGAAAAACCCAATTGCTTTATAAAGAGGGATGGAAGTACATAGAAGATGTATGAAGCACATGCAGGAGGTTGTTTTTGTTTGTTTGTTTGTTTGTTTTGTTTTGTTTTGTTTTTTTTTGTTTGTTTGTTTGTTTTGTTTTTTTTACCCAAATCTGATCAGAATACCACTCCAGTTAGCACTGAACTTAGGCAATTTATTCTGGTGTCCACAGAAGATGCATCTTTTTATTACAGGAAAAACTGCTCCAGAGGCTCCTCTCCTGTGCATAGTGTTAGGATAATCTTTGAGCTTTCAGAAAAAGTAAACCATCAATATGGCCTTTTGACACCTATTAGATTAATACAGGATCCACTGTGCTGCCACTGATCAGATTTTGGTAGTACCTGGCACATAAACTATCTGCATCAGGTCAGTTTATAAAAAGCAGAGGATTTTAGGTGGTGAAGCAAATGCTGGAGGACATGTAGCAGAATCAGATGACCCGTTATTTTCTGTTCAGCAGAAATCTTCATGTCCTTCTCTGTAAAATCATCTACTTGTTTTCAAAACAAATTTTTTCCAGCCTAGCTGGTGGCTTCTTCAGTGTCTCTTCCAGGGCATCTCTCTGTAGAGACATTAAAAGCTTTCAGCAGAGTGGATTTTGATGTTGGAGTGACGCTTTGCTGCTTAACTTCTGCTTTCTTTTCCCCTGCATTAAGGTGATGTACTCTGATACCAAAAGAAGCCTGGGAATAACCCCAAGCAGAACTACAGGCTGGGAGAGGAATGGTTGGAGAGCTGCCAGGCAGAGAAGGACCTGGGAGTGATGGTGGACAGTCGGCTGAATATGAGCCAGCAGTGTGCTCAGGTGGCCAAGAAGGCCAACGGCATCCTGGCTTGTATCAGAAACACTGTGACCAGCAGGGCTAGGGAGGTGATCGTCCCCCTGTACTCGGCTCTGGTGAGGCCGCACCTCGAGTACTGTGTTCAGTTTTGGGCCCCTCGCTACAAGAAGGACATGGAGGTGCTTGAGCGGGTCCAAAGAAGGGCGACGAAGCTGGTGAGGGGCCTGGAGAACAAGTCCTACGAGGAGCGGCTGAAGGAGCTGGGCTTGTTCAGCCTAGAGAAGAGGAGGCTCAGGGGTGACCTTATTGCTCTGTATAAGTACATTAAAGGAGGCTGTAGAGAGGTGGGGGTTGGCCTGTTCTCCCATGTGCCTGGTGACAGGACGAGGGGGAATGGGCTAAAGTTACGCCAGGGGAGTTTTAGGTTGGATGTTAGGAAGAATTTCTTTACTGAAAGGGTTGTTAGGCACTGGAACGGGCTGCCCAGGGAGGTGGTGGAGTCACCATCCCTGGAAGTCTTCAAAAGACGTTTAGATGTAGAGCTTAGGGATATGGTTTAGTGGGGACTGTTAGTGTTAGGTTAGAGGTTGGACTCGATGATCTTGAGGTCTCTTCCAACCTAGAAATTCTGTGATTCTGTGATTCTGTAATAATGTGCTAATATTCTCAGTGTTCACTCATGATTGAGTGTTTGCAGGGAGAATTCCCATTTTCTAGTGAGTGATGGGTCTGAGGCTTGCAATGTTGCTGTATGCCCACCAGGTGTGGGAATTTGGTCACGAGGCCATGGCTGTATAGGGAAGTTACTTTACTACTACTACCAAAGAGATTTAAGAATGGTCTTGTTAGAGCTTCATAATTATGATACTGCTGGCCTCTACTGCATGCAAATGAGCAGCTCAATCCTAGATCACTGCTGCTGAGGGCAGTGCTTACTCCTAGAAAGGTGTGGTGATTTGAGCAGCCAGGAGGCTGAAGTCTACTGCTGCCTGTATGATAAGCAGTTTTAGTAGTGTTGAACTCAAACCAAGGACCTATGGTGAAATACTCACTGTCCTGTTTATAAGTCTCCTGAGTTATCTGCTCCCCAGACTTCTACTGCCATAAATAACCCTAGAAGTCAGGCCTCACTGCCAGAAGTGTTAAGTGCTGCAAATAGTGTAGAGGATGACTCATTTAGTGAGATGAAGGCAGGGCATGAATCAGTAGGAAGAAACCTGATATACGAAGGAGACATTTTGGATGCAGATGACACACCAAAAAATCTGAACAAAGTAATGTTCAATCATCATAAAAACGAAACAAAAGACTTCTTTTTTTCTTCCCCTTTGGGGGAAAAAAAAACAAACAACAAACAAACAACACACCTCTTTTCTAGTGACAAAGGGTACTCTAATGAAAGCCTAAAATGGGAAGGTATTGAATACTGAGCTTGTCATTTCCTTACCCAAGATAAAAAGTGGACTGTACAGGAAGAAATAAATTGAGAATTCTTCCTTATATGTCCAAACTAAACAGGGTATTTAGCAAACAGGTTGCTTTCCGGGTTGTTCCGTGTCTGTATAAGGTGAGCAAATAACTTTGAGCTAAATAGTTGTGGGAGATCAAGGAACCCACATTGAAAGCTGACAGCAATGGAAAAGCTAAAATAACATTTACACATCTTTTGTAAATGCTAACTCATGGTAAGTGGACCAAATTCCTGTAAACTGCTCAATTTGAAACTAGCTTGGGATCCTTTTGGTTGCCCTCTAGCTTATACACATAGGTAGACTTGGAAAAAGGGTACCTGATAGGTTATATGCCATAACTACTGGTACACTAATGAATTCAGTGTCCAATGTTTATTAAAAGCTTAATGTAAACTCATCAGGGGTGAGGATGAAGCTGTCATATCTGACATCAGCTAAAATCTTTTTGAAGCACTGGAATAAAAATAGCAGTTACTTTGAAAAATAATAATAAAAATAAAAAGGACAAAACATAATAATTCAAAGAAACCTAGCCATCTGTATTTTAGGTTGAAATCTGTCTCTACTGGAGTTTTAAGTAAGAGCTACTGTTAAAATTGTAGAGGCTAGTTTATCCTGTGATGTGTGCAGCTCTTCTTGGCTCTGTTAGACTAGACTGATAAAATGTTGCTCTCAAAAGTTCTGGGCCTTTAGAGCAGTAAGGTGTAGAAACAGGCATCTTAACCTATTCTGCTTTGTTCAGAATGAAGTGAAGGACAGTCAAAAGGTTGAAGGCCGAAAAGCTGTTTCACAGTTTTGGCAGCAATAGGAAATTCTGAGAAGACGGGTAATGCTGCCATGGCTTAAGGGATGCAGATACTTGTATGGAATAGAACTGCAAACAGGAAGGGAAAAGCCTTGCAAGGGTATCTCAGTCTCCAGTGTTACTGTAAAAACAAGCTCAAACCTGGTTGCACTAGTCTTTTGTAGCGTGATGAAGTCTGAGTGCTTTATTTCGTTGAAGCTGGTGCTGGACTGAAATTCAGCACAAAGCCATTCATGCTTATATACAGTCAATTTTAAAATTTCAGGTGTCATTTTACCCACGTGTTAATGCTCAAAATTCCTAGCTGTGTGTTGTAATTTGGGATGTGTTAGGGTATAACTCTTTTCTACTGTGTCTGTATTCAGTACATTTAGCCCCTCTATTCAGAGGTAATCTGCTGGATTTTTAGTTCTAATGTAATAAATTATTCTTACAGGAGGCAGCACAGGCCAAATTTTCTATTGCTACTAGGGGAGAGCTAACAGTTAGCACCTAGTGACAGATTTATGTTTTCACTTGTAGGCTGCCCAGCAGTGGGCCCAGCCTGAATGTAAAATATTGCTTGGAAAAGTTGGCTTTGTTAGTGAAAAAGTACAAGGCTCATTTTTTTTAAAGCTGTATTGATTATTTTTTTTAATATTAAAGAGAAAAAAAAACCCACAACCCTCCTTCTGCTGAGAGGAAGGATATAGAAACTCTCTAAGGAAAAATAGCTCAGACTGAGCTTCTGTCAATAAAATTGTGTAATTTAATACTAGACAGCTTTTTAATACAGGAGGAAAAAAGAACAGACACTCTCCTGTCTCAGAAGGGGAAAAATACAAAAACCTGCCTGCAGTATGTTACCTAAATCTAGCCGCAGAGGGGATAATCCCTTCAGGCACTTGAAAAATCTGTGGGGAAATAAGGCTAAGGAGAAGATGTACTCAGATATCCTCCAGCCCCATTCTCCAAAGTGATGGCAACAGGATGTGTGTGGTGCAGCACCAGTGGCCAGACAGCAAGGTGGCATTTGCTTGTTTAGTCCTTTTTATGAAGGCTTCCATCTTACCTTAATATAAGTGGCCAAGGTTAGAGATGTGTAAGAAGCAACTGACCTTTAACACAACGCTTGACAAAAAAGAATAAGCTTGAATTCAGAAGCAAAAATA